TCCCTGGCTACAGACTTCCCCAGTGGAATAAGTCTCCTGATTTCCTGAATGATGTACCAAGGGTGTTGATTGTGGATCCAGGGATGTTGAAATCATTGACAGTTTCAATCTTTTCTCTATCATAATGTTTCCTATCAGTCTAGTGGCTAGGATTTTTCTTAATACTGAGATGTAATCCACATTGAAGGCTTTATTCTTTGATCTTCTACAGCAAGCGCTTCAAGTCCTCCTCATTTTCATCAAGTAAGGTTCTGTTATTTGCATAATGTGGGTTACTAAGGAATCTTCCTCTGATCCTGATACCGCATTCTTCTTCACAGAGTCCAGCTTCTTGAATCATTTTCTCAGCATACAGACTGAATAGAGCACGAGCAATTCAAATCCAGCTGAGAATTCACCCTCGCCTGGGACATTATCCTGTTATACCAGCTATGCGCCTCAACTGGAGGGCTCCAGCACCCACCCAGGGCTTCAACTTGTCACATTGTCATTGGCCTCACATGGGCCTTGCATCATGATTTTCATATAGCACATCTGATGTCAAAGCAGAGAAGCTATGCCACATGAAGACAGAGCAGGAACAGCAGCTTAGAGACAGTTCTCCAGAACTGCCAAAGAGAAACCTTCCCCTAAAGTTGATTCAAGAGATTCGGAGTTGGAGCCTCCTAGATTTTAAGACTTACCTTTCAGTTTGTTGTATTAGGAGAATGATCTGCATATTATGAATTGCTTTACAGCTATATCTATATCCTGGTATGTTTATCATTGTTGATATTAGTACAACACATATTTATGAGTTTGCTGTCCTTGGGTAACTTCTGGTGATACATGTAGACTTTAAAAAAAAAAAAAAATTAAAAATTGTATAGGGATTCTTGATGCCTGTTACTGTTAATTGCTATCAGGTAGAAGTGATTTATACATGAATCTCCAGAGAGTTTTCAGTGGCTGAAAATATATTTCTCCCAGAGATTAGCCGGTGGGTTTGAATAGTCTGCCTCTGGGTTAGCAATATACTCCTTACAATTGAGATACAAGAGCTCCCTAGAGTCCTAGAACAAATACATTTTCCTAACAAGCGAATGAACTCTTGATCCAATATCATGCAAAACTAAATTTCCAACTTAAGATATATTGGACAACAGAAGCTTTTAGATTCAAATTCTAGCTATAAAAGTATGAAAACAGTTGACTTTTGGTACAACTCAATAACCACCACAAAGACTTAATAACAGCACCTTTTGACTCCATCTTTAAAATTCTACCAGGTCAAAGTAACTAAAAATTCTGCAGGTTTGCTTAATTGTTTTAATTTCAGCATAATTTTAGACTTTCATTTTAATTTTTATGACCATTGCAATATGTAAGGTGAGCTCTGGTGGCCTAGTGGCAAGAAGCTGAGCTGCAATCTCAAAAGCACATAGTTCAAGTCGACCAGCAGCTACCGAATGGGAGAATAGGCAATCTCTTCTCATGTGATTAACTTCCTCTAAAATCCTGCTAGAGGATCAGCAATGGTTCAGTTCCAACTCAATGACAAACAACAAGTTAATATTTTTTAAAAATTTCATACCCAGCTTTTTTTATTATTTTCACTAGAAAACATTTTCTTTTTTGTTGTTGTGTGCCATTACACTGATTGTGATTCAGTGACTAAAGATGACAGAGAATTCCCTCTAACGATTTCCCACAGATATTGACATTTATAGAAGGCGATTATCAGGTCTTTAACCATGAGTTTAAAGCCACTAGTAGCTTTGAAGTGTCAAACTTCTGGCTAGCAGCCAAGCACTTAATCACTGCACTGCCAAAGCACCTACTAAATAACTTAGTCCACCATATTCCCAGAAGTATTTGCTTTTTATAACAATTTTATCTAGATTCTAGTCCTTTACTCTTCACTAGTTAATTCAAAATTGTTACCAGAGGAAAGCCATTTTCACAAGATATATGACCATAGATACAAATCACTAAGTGTAATCTTCAAGAAATGTAGCTTATTAGTATTTCCTTTATTCCACAAATCAGCAATGATAACCAAGAAATAACCATAACAAATATAATTAACCTGGACATTAAAGAGAAAAGACATTTCTTAATATACTTTAGAGTTAAAACATTTTATTATAGAAATTCTGAGCATACGTCACATGTCAGGTTCCTAACTAAAGTCAGCTGTTCTACTCTACAGCCACACTAAAGGATAAAGTTGGGCAAACTCCTCCTACAGAGATTTATAACCTGAGAAACTCATGAGTCAGAATTCACCTTACCGCAAGAAGTTTAGTTTTCAGATTTGTTTTAAGTTTAAACATAATTGCACTGTAAAATCTAAAAAGATATTTTATCTCATCTAGATTTATATAAATAATGGAACATTGCAGGCATACTAAAAAAATAATCGAGTCAAGTGATTTTAGAACTTTATGTGGCTAGACTTGATATGTGAAATTGATTAATATGTAAATTTATGATTAAACATGACATGAATTTTTCTTTTAAAATGTATTTTCTCTTAATTTCCATTTTAATAAAGCCAATGGGGACAAATAAAGCTTTGCCACATTTTGGCTAGAATTTTCATTCCCTCTTTTGTTACTACAATTCGATTTATACATGTACTTCCTCGTGGTGCGCTCATATTCCTTTCTGAACTGCAAATTTGATCTTATAAATAATAAGAAAAATAGGACACTTTGCAAAAGCAAATTACTATACCTTTTTTATATCTATAGATCTTTCCATAAATTTTACATAAAATTTCATGGCCTATTATAAGGTTTCAAATCTCTTAATGTTCACTAAGATAAAAATGTTTACTATTTTTTTTTTCCAATTTGGAGTGAAGTAGATATCCACAATTTAGAACACATAACTATAAACACGGGAATAGTTTCAGACTCTTATCTTTGCTTTTTACTACCCAGTTTGGGAGCTCTGGAGATCTAATGGGTTGTTGATGTTTTTGCTGTCAGATGCCAAGTCAAGTATGACTCATAAAAACCCTATAAACAATAGATCTAAACCCTGTCCTATCTTTTGTCATACTTATCATATCTGCCACACAAGAGTAATTCTGCAAGCACCATATCAATCTATCTCCTTGAGGGTCTTCCTCTCTTTCACTGACTTTTCACCTTTACAAGCATGATATTCCTCTTTTACGGAATAGCCTCTCTAAGCAACATGTCCACAGTAGTGAGTAAGGAGACCTAGTAGGTAAAAGGGTTCCATTTCATAAGCACATAACAACAATGAAAAAGATGTGGTTCTAAAAAAATGAGAAATCACACAAAATAAGAGGAAGTATTGATATAAACTTGATATGAAAATTAACTTTAAGATTAATTTTAAAAATAAAAAGGTTATCATTAATTCTGTTTTATAAATTATTCTCATGTAATTATCATTGTTCTTAAATATAAATCTAAGTCATATGAAATATTTCTCACTAAAGTTTAAGCATTGACAAGTTCAGTTAAGTATTCAAGATAAACATTTTTCCCTACTTTCAAGACACAAAACATAATTCATATGTTTTTTTTCCAAATTCTTCAAAAAACTAAACCTAATTAAAATGGCCAGAGAAAGCCTTTGTATTTCTGTTTCCCCATTAAAGTACATAATTTGACATTAACCACTTTAAAAAGAACAATTAAGAATAATTATTTTAATTAAGTCTTCTCATCTTTATATAAAGGTTCTGAAGAAAAACTAAAGCCATTACAAGGGGACAATAAAAAGAAGAGTATGCACCTCTGCCAGACATAGATGGGAGTTTGGAACATGTCCTACTATATAACTCAGATCATTTAGAAAGAAGCATGCTACTTACACTGTTCCAAGGAAAGATATGGGAAGAAGATGGTACATTTTGCTACCACTCAATTATGTTACAGTGAAAAAAACTTTGATATCATGGTAGCTATGCTTGGAAATCATTTAAGTGACTAAAAGCTAAATTTATTCAATAAAATGGAGTCACTGCCTTACAATTGCAATTTACAGGATTATAGCTATTATTTAGATTTGGTTTTGTTTTAATCAACGAGGACTAAGTATTAAATCAAATTTTTCTATTTGACCCATGTGTAGAACTGTTTCAAAATGAAGTGTTTGTTCTTATAGAAAGATAAATAAAGAGAACATTCTGCCACATACCTTGGAATTCTATCTGTAAAAAAAGAAAGACTATGTACATACTATATATAGTGTACATATAGTATATAGTGTGTGTGTATGTTGTAATCCCAAAGACATGCAGTTTAAGCCCACCAGCTGTTTATGGGAGAAGGATGGGCAATCTTCTTCCATGCGACTTTCTCCCTGAAAACCTGGTGGAGGGTCAGTAACAGGTCAGTTCTGACTCGATGGCACACAACAACATAGTTACTTTTGTGTTTCTTTAGGGAGCCCTGTTGGCCTAATGTGTTGTGCTGCCAAGCAAGAGGCAGGTAGTTCGAATCCACCAGCTGCTCAGCAGAAGAAAGATGGGTAATCTCCTAACCATGGAATTTATAGCCTCTGAAAACCTGCCAGAGGGTCAGCTTTGAGTTGGTTCTGACTTTGATGGTACATAACAACAACAACAACAACATAGCAACATCTGCACCATACCTGGAGCTGAGAAGCTGCAATAGAAACTACATGAAGTGCAAAGCTAAAATATCTAATACTGCCTCTTTACAGAAAAAGATCTGCTGATCTGCTATTAAGAAATGCAATATGAACTGCACAATGCATGGAAAAGAGGAATAATAAAGACATACATTAAAGAATTATTAAAACAAACAGCTAAATCTAATCCCCTTTGAAGACACTTCCAAATCCTAGAATAAGAACTATGAAATGAAAACTTAAAACATAAAAGCAAAACAGAAGTATATTAATAGTTTATTTAATGTCATAAACTATATCTTATTATTTATTGAAGTTATTTACAGTGAACTGTAATTTGTTACAAATGATACATATAACTGTTTTACACATATTTTTTTTACCTGCTAATGGCTTGCTCCTCATCAGTTATTCCAGTCTCCCTGAATGCCCTGTTTGATTCCGCCAAACTCAAGGCAATTGCCCTCTGAAGATCATCTTTATCATCTCCAGTGAGATCAATCACATCTGAAAAGCAAAACTATCTTTCTCAAAATTCAAAGAAAATTAAAGATAATTCTTATCACCCATATTTTTACTAATACACCCTAAATCAAACCAACTCTGTATTTTTTATTAGTGCTTATCCAAAAAGAATGCAAACAAACAAACTGCAACTTTATTATATATTATAATTCCTCTTCCTTGCTACAATACATACCTAAGCATAATAACTCAAGTATTACTCACTGCAGAAGAGTCTCAGGATTTATTGAGGTCTCTGAATAAAAGCTATCCAAACTGCTGAAAATATTTTCTTTATCAACAAAAACAAAAGCCACACAATCAAACATTGTATAGCTATGTTTTTTAAAATTAAAATTAACAAAACACTCACAAAACTATCAGCTTTAATAACTAGACTTTCAAGAGACGAACAACACAGGTTTCCCATATAACTACCTGGACTCTATTAGATAAAAATAATTAGTAACTGAGTCCTCAAAAAGTATGTTTCAGAAACTAAAGAACTAAATAGCTATACATAGTTTTAAAGTCTAGACAAATACGCCAAAATGTTCCAAGGCTTAAATGTATGAACTCATATAAGAGAGTTACAGGATCAGACAGTATAAACAACTTTCAACTTTTTTTTTCCTGGCAGCCCTGCTGGTGTAAACAACTTGAACTAGTCTAAGTGTTGGTCGTTAAATGCATCTATTAGTTCCTTAGAAAAAAGTTCTAGTAATCTATTTCTATAAAGATAGAGCCAAGAAAGTACTATAGAACTGTTCTGCTCTATAAGACATGGGACCACTATGAGTCGAAATCATTTTGATGACAATGTAGTTTGGTTTTGCCCTATTTTTTTTTCTTTTTTATATATAATGCATCATCTAAATTATTTAACATAAGTAGGTGGTCCTTCTAATGTAAAAGAATTTTTAAGAGTGAAAACAAAGAAATATACACAAAACATCTAGATGTTCCTCCTCAAACTAAGAAACCATCTTGAAATTCACTCTTCTTTTATCTATCAAATAAAAGTAACCACTATGATGACCTCCTGTAATTCAATCTCCTGTCTAGACTGCTAAATAGAACTATTTTTTAGTCCAACAAACCCAAATACATTTACTTCCTTAACTCATAAAATGCCAATTTAAAATTATCTGTTAACATTAAAACACAAATAGGGATGATAAAATATTCTTAAATAGAGGAGGAATAGCAAGTTTAAATGAATAGGAGTAAGAGAAATAAGAAACTCTGTTATTATTTTATTTTGGAATAGGAAGAATTGGTAAATGCAAAGCACTCCATTTCATTTTGTTCATTTTCATTTTGTTGTTGTTGTTTAATGCCGTCGAGTCGTAGATGACTCATAGCGACCCTATGAACAAACAGCCTGAGCACTGTTAGTACATAGAGTTTCCGGAGGCAAGCCATTTTGGAAGTGGATGCCACTCCTGCTTCTAGGCTTGATTTAGTCGGGAAGCTCCAGCCAACACTGTCCACCATGGGTACCCATTACCACGATTGGCAGATCACTGTAAAAATTTATTTCTTCTTCCATTTATAAACTTATAAAGGAGGGGAAAGAAGCAATAAAGAGGAGAGACAATTATGTATATTATTATCTATCTGTTTATAGCTACTAAAGAAGTAAAATTTCAATACTAAATGGGAAAAAATTACCTACATTGTTCATTTCATAAGTCTTCCTATAAAAATTTACACATTTCCTCTCAACAGTAGCTTAGAATAATATTAAATATATCAAAAGGAATAATTAGCTGTGGAAGGGGTACATGTATAATGCTTTTGGCTGATACAATAAAGTCTTATAATAATTTAAGAAGCAAAGCCATCTCCTTTCCACCATGCACATACACACAAAAAAATTCACCATGATATAGAACAAAATTAATCAGCAAGGTAATTCAAAAGATAAAGCATGCTTACAAACAACAGTCTTACAGTTCCAGAAATCTGGCAAAAAGATCAAGTCTACCCAGACCACAGATGATAAATGGAGTTACCTAGGTAGAGCCAATCAGTACAATGCAATTAGCATGTACATAAACAACATGGACTAGAGAAGCATGAAGTGACCTCATAAAATTGAGAAATACTCTATTAAATGAAGGCTAGAATTTTGTAAGAGAATAAAGAAGAAACAATATGATAATTTACTGATAAGGAGGAGCATAAGGTTTTGATCAATCAGCCCTCAGACTGTATTTTACCATCCTCACACCATTTTCCCTTTCAACTACACAAAATAAGATTTAAAAAAAAAAGAAAATAAAAAAAAAAACAGCAAACAAAACCCGTGTACTTTCCAAGCTCTACACACAAAGTTTTAGATAAAATTTTGCTTCCACCAAATTGATGAAATTTGGAAAGCAGAAATGAGGTAGAAGGCATCATCCAGCTGTTTACTGCTGTTTCCTCCAGCATGATTGAAAAGATCTGATTTATTCCACAGAAACATTACAGTGTCCAATTACCAAGCTTCAAAGATGCCAAGAGATTGTTACAATATATGTAGCAACTAGCCTTAACATTTCCATGCCCAGGCACAGTTCAGCAGTAGTTACCTAATCATAGCTTCCTATTCCCTAGGCTGCAGCTACAGGAGCATGCTAATAAACTTGGGAATCTCATAGGCAGCGTTCTGATTGTGGCACAGCAAATTATTTCCCTGGTAGGTCAATTTTACAATGATCTGAATATCATTTTGGAAGGCCAAGCCAGGAATAAATTCTCTATTCCTTCCAATAATTAAGATTTTAATTATTTGTATTCACTTCTTACTCTTGAAAACATCGAGTCCTACTGCTTTTTGACTGAGAAGTACACCAAACTGCTTAGAATAGAAACACTCAGGAAGAGCAATATATTTTTTTTTTTTTACTTACAATCTTTCCTAACTACAACTGCAACAACATAAAAATAATTTTTTTTCATTTATAAACGAGATAACTAAGGTTCTGAAAAAGGAAACAATTATAAGAATTGAGAATGGTGGCCACCAAGTCTTTCCCAATTAAATAAGCAGTCATGCTGGTGCAGTGGTTAAGCTACAGGCAAGAATTATGGCAGTCTGTTTTGATGAATACTCATTTGAAGAGCAAGACAGAATAATTAAATTTAATGTTACAAAGTATTGAAAAGTCATTGATATGCCTTCCATTTCCATACTGCCACAGAGCTTTAAGAACTTATTAGCATGGACCCACAAGCTCGGAGCTGCATGGTCTCCAGCACTCCTTAGCAGATCCACCCTTCCAGGTATCACTCGCACAGGTTTCCAGTCTTCTCTCTGTCTCAGCTGCCACACAGCCACTCCACACAGTTCTGGCTTTTGCCAGAGTCCACGAAAAGCAGAGAAAGATAAGGACATCAAGGCAAGGAGCAATGCTGTGCCCAGCGCCTGGCTCTACATGGCCGACAGTCACTGCTCTCCATGCTGTTCCTCTGCATGCATGTTCCTTTGCAGAGTGCATGACACCATCATTCTAACACGTGGAGGGACAAGCTCACTATGCTCAGAAACATCTGGAAAGTCAGAGTCCTATTATCTTCCATGGGGACTTCCTTGGTGAGCCAATTCCACTTAAAAGACTCTTGTGAATGCTCTGCTGAAGTCAAGGCTCCAGAGAACACATTAGTTTCCTAAAGTATTGCCCCTGCTGCTTTTTGTGGGATTGAACATTGTAACCTGGCAATTAATCAATAATATCATAAAGACAACAATTACTCACTACTTACACAGAAACAATAGAAACAGCCTAATACTTAGCAAGAAAAACTTCACATAATGAAAATACTATGAAAAAGCAAATTAGGCCGCTCCAAAAAAAGTAGAGAATATTGAAGACCCATTGAATACTCCAGGGTTAAGAAGGCAGATGATAAATGGAGACATTAGAAAAGCTACAAAAGGAAGAGGTACATAAAAAAGAGACAGAGAGAGAGAGAGAGACACAAAGAAAGACTCAAAACCAAAGGCTGGGGAAAAAAATTATACCAAGCAAATGGCTTCCCCCAAAAAACAGGAGTGGCACTATCAATCTCTGATAAAATAGACTTCAGACAAGGAAAGGCACAATATGATTAAGGGTACAAGAGATAAAAAATACATAACCTTGGGCAAAATCTTGGCACCAAATGATAGACCTGCTAAATACATAAAACAACTGTTAGCAGAACTGAAGAAATAAGACAGCACCACAATAGTGTTAGGAGAATTTAACCTGTCACTCTCACCAAAGGATAGGTCAAATAAAAAGAAACTTAACAAAGATGCAGAAAACCTAAACCATACATTCAGTCAACTCAATCTTATGGATGTTTTCCAAGTACTACACCTAAATAAAACTCAGTTAACTTTCTTCTCAAGCGCACATGATATGTTCTCCAAAATGATCACGTTAGGGCATAAAGCCTGCCTCAACAAATTCAAAAGCACTGAAATAATTCAAATTATATTCTCAGACCACAATAACATAAAACTTGAAATACATTTACTAGGATAAAGATTTAAAACCACCTATGTGGAAACTAAATAGCATCCTGCTAGAACAAGATTGGGTTATAGAAGAAGTAAAGAATAAAATTCATAAGTTTCTAGAAACAAATCATAATGAGAATACAATGTAACAAAAACTCTCTACCACAGCTAAAGTATTAGAGGGGGAGGTCATAGCAACAGGCTAACACATTAAAAACAAACACAGAAGTAAAATTAATGATCTAACTCAATACCTTCATCAAACAGAAAAATAGTAACAATATACCCCCACCCAGCGCCTCTAGAAGGAAATTATAATAAGAGCTGAAATCAATGAGAGAGAAAACACAGAAACTGAAACCATCAACAAAATCAGGAGCTGGTTTTCAAAAGGATCATTAAAATTGAAAAACCACTGGCAAATTTTACAAAAGAAAAAAAGTAGAAGATACAAATAACTTGATGAAGGAATGACAGTGGTGTCATCAAAATAGAACCAGAATGAAAT